CAGGCGCCGTTTCCAAGTCGTCGATGGTCAACCCGCCCCCGCCATCCGATTCGTGGAGGAACTCGATTAGGTTGATCGGCGAGTTAGGCCGTAGGGATTCTTTCGCCCAATGCTCCAACAGTCTTTCCAGCTAGTCGGCCACGGCCGCTGCTCCTTCCTTGGTGGCTTTATCTGTCATTTAAAGGCTAGTAAGGTTGATTAACACTTCGCGTGCCGAATCCTGTCGGACGTTTTCGGCACCTAACTCCAGGACTTTTTGGGCCGTCGTCCTGGTTGGTCGGCCGCTTGCATCGTGGCCGTTGAGGACAACCCATCCAACTTCGTCGTCGTAAATCCGCGCTTGTACGGCATTGGCTTCGAACGGCCTTTCGTCGGCCGGGTGTATAGACACTTTCTGGCCATCCCAGAAGAACAACAATTGGAAAAGGGAGGACGGTATGCATCTGGACTGATGAATCCAGTCACGGCCAAGCAATATGTTGTAGTCTACACTAGAGTCGACTACGTAGAAGGCCGCGACTCTTGTTTGATCGGCCACAGTGATTTTCAACGACAACACTCCGATGGTATTGGATTTATCGCCGACGAAATTGCTCATGACCACGTAACTAGGGATGAGGTCCTCCTTTGATTTGTCCAGCTTCTTCATCAAGGAATAGGGAAGAATATTGACCGCCGCGCCGCAGTCAACGAAAACTTTAGACATGGGTATCCCTTATCCCTTCTACATAAGCCGAGATGTACAACGGCTTTAGGTGTCAGTACTTGTTTGACTCGTCTTTGGGTATTACCTCGTTAAAGGCCACGACCAACAATTCTTCCTTTGTCTTCAGTCTCTGATCGAGCCGCTCTTCAAACACATCATTGTCCAGGCTGCTGCTCTGTCCTCTTGGGGCTGAAAACTCGGCCGGTAGCACCAAGACCATGCTTATGTTAACTTCATTTGGTCCATGCAGGCTCCCTTTATCGGATTCTACCTCGGCTGTGCGGTAATCCTTGGCGGAGGCTTTTTCTTCGACCATCCCGAGAGTCCCCCCAGATTCTTCATCAAACAACCCCAACTCAGGTTCTTCTATGGCCTCAATTCCGAGGAAGGGATTGTCGAGGCCGTCGATCGCAGGCCTTGCGAACTCAAGGTCTCGTCTAGCTTTAGTCAACGCATCTCTGGCCGTCAAGTACTCATCCAATCGGCTGACCCAGACCTTTTCCTCGGCTGTCAAACCAAAGATGGTGTCGGCCGGGGTCACAGTAAAATATTGGCGGAGGTAATCTAGGTCGTCCTTGCTGAAAGGGGCCTTGGCCTCCAACCCTCCTAAGGCGGGTTGATAACCCGTCATTCCTTTCGCTCTAGCCTCTCGCTTTGCTTGATACACGGCCTTAATGGTCGAGTCAGATCCTCTGGTAATGAGGAGCCCTTCTGCCTTAGTGTTTTTCAGGGCCACCTCCACAATTTCCTGGTTCTCAGGGACCATGCCGTATAGGTCGGTGGCAGAGTGGTCTTTGTGGAACTCCATGAGGAAAGACAAACCGTTGCCAAGAATGGGGGATCCCTTCCACGGTAAACATCGACGATACTTTCGTCTGACTCCTCCGAGGTCACAGCCCTTGGTTTTGTAGAGCCAGCCGTCGCCCTATGAGGGTTCTCATCTTGCTGAGGACGCCACGCCTTTGGAGGCTTGGTACCGGCTGCC